TATAATTAAACCGTAACGTATGCAAATTAACGCTCACGTCTCAAAAACTGTGAGAGTTTTGAATATTTATGTATAACAAAAGTACGGAAGAACTTAGCAAAGCGATAGTTTGAAACGGTCTATTGGTGGCATCATATTAATCAACGACTATTTCTAAAATAAGTAGCCAAATGTTAGTTAACTTTTTATACGATATTAAGCCCATATAAGCCCCAGCGAAAAGGTATGATAATATTATCAGTGTAACCTTGAGCAAGTAATTTCGAAATTCAATATATGCTCAAGAATTTATCATAGTGAATACTATTTCATTATATATATACCGGGTCTGAATTACTGCGTACGCAATATTTGATGGTACCATGCTTCATGTTCATTGACATTCTGATTGAGAAACTTTTTCTTTTATATATTATATCTTACACTGCTCTATATTAATATGCTTAGTGGTCTTTACTACACAATACTTTGTTTATCCAAAGCAATAAACTCACCGAAACAAATTACCTGAATTCGTCATGCTTCTTCATAATTTGGACTGCACACATATTCCCATATGAGCGTGCCACGTACGGAGAGCACAGCATAGGGCTTTCTGTATCTTTGCTTGTGCGCCAAATTAAGCATAGTCCTGCTACATTTAAGCCATTCTTAGCCTTAGTATTTTTCTGATAAGCGTCTTTCATAACATAGAGGCCACTGTACGATATGAGATCAACTACTTATATTACATGTCTAATTATAAACCGATTCGAATGTACCTAGAAAGCGCACTGTTGTTTCACAGTGCCTACGCACACTGATATTTACCGATATATATTAACACAAAGAGCAACTATGTTTCTTCTCACCCTATTGAATAACAAAATAAATGACTGAACCCGGTAATGTCATAAACCCAGCAATATTCATATTCCAAAATATTTCCTTACCTCATAACATTCATCCAGGAGTTATCAATGAACTAGCGAGCAATTACTAGTGTAAAGCCGTGAGACGATAAGGGCGTAATGAAAACGTAAGCAATAATGTTAACGATTACAGATGAGGTCTGACGAGCAGAAGCTCGATACAATAATGGCTTAGTAAACAATACAAAAAGTATTCAAGTGACCATGAGGATGAGTGAAATAAAATTTAGGCTACGCCCATACGGTGCGCATGTATTTCATTAAGTACATTACCGAAACAATATCTTGCTGCATTTTAAAAAGGTAACCACTTAAGATACAAAGTTGACTGTAATGGTTTTCGTTGTAATGACAACCGTTGCGAAAATAGCTCAACGAATAGGTAATATTCTAACAGTAAATATAGCAATTTTTTTCATCTCACTCCACCATGAGATATTCTAGAGGCATTTCGAGTTAGTAATAGCACATATACACCATTCTGGCATGTCGTTTCTATTCTGTTTCAAGCTATGGACTAGGATTTCAATTCCTCGATATCGTATACAGTTTGACAAACAATGAGCGATTGTAACAGCCTCATTATGCACAGTCCGGGATGCGCTCCGGATCGTGCTTCTTTCATTACTCAAATTAATTACTCAACAATGCCAATGTTTGCAAGGCAGTGTTATGTGTTAGGTATATTTACCTCATTTGGCTTTTAGGATGATTTATCGGTAGAGCTGCAACGAACGTATTGAGGCATGAAACTTCTCATCTCGATAACTCGAATAATAGCAGAGATTAAAATTAACTTGCAGTAAAAAAAAATCTATTGATAACATTGCGACAAATATGCTCCCTAATATCAGAATATGAAGCCAAACTTACGCAGACACCTACGTCAGCCAACAAGTGGGCACATTGTGTAATTAGAACGCTACAGAAAAAAATATTGCAAGAGAAAGCGTATGGTAAATAAATGATGACAGCTAGAGATCAAAGGACTGCGACTTCTATATAGCGACTGGGTCGGATTGGATCATAATTTCGATTCCTATCAATTTTTTTGGATTAGCCGGACCGCAACAGCAACTATACTTTATCTGTCGTATTAGACCAAAACGAACTTAAGTTTATGTCCCTCAACGTTAAGCCGGTTACAGCCTGCGCTCCCTGATTGCTCTTAGTGCAAGTTCATATTTGTAAGGACTGTGATAACTACAAGCACACACCCCAATACATTTATATTCTTCGCCAGACAAATCTTTTTCTGTGGTACATAGTGACGAATTATTAGCTACTAGATAAATGTTTCATATTAGTTTAGGTACGACTACCTGTCGTTCCAGGCCTAACAAAGAAATTCAGAGGAGTATGGTACTACCAGAAGATCGTTGCTGGTACTGAGGCACCTTAGAATCTGTCATTTTGAAAATCGCCGTCAGCTGTTCAGGCAATCCGACGTAAAATAATTTGGTAACTCTTTAATGACACTGGCTGTGTATGCCCTGGAATAATTAGAAATGTAATGAAATTTGTCCCGCGTAACTCAATTATAAAAAAAGGTTACGTTCTGACAAACTGAACCTCTGATTCGACAAAAATCACTACTGGCTTAGCGAATAGCACAAGCAGTGCATATCCTAACTTTAATTCGATTCCTAGAAATCCAAAAAAAAATTGTAAAAATATATTTCAGACACCTTAAAATATTTATGGGTATTTACAATATAGAATATTCCAACTAAAAAAATGCTAGATTCATGCTCAGCAGGCTGACATTAATTTAGCTATTACCGCAGTTGCTAACCAACTATAGAACTGCGAAGCACTTTTGTCACTGCGAAAGAAAGAATAGCAGTGAGTGTATGGAAGAGTTGTGGTATTACAGGTATTCTTCCCTAGCAGGTATCCTCCTCACCATTCAGATCAACTCGTACTGTTACTGTTACCCCCTTTATAAGTTTTGACATCGGTTGTTCCCTAATGGAGGAAAAAGGACACGGACTGGTGTGGCCGTTAATAAACACAGCATCATACGGTAATGCTGTCAATAGAACGGTACACATTGTGTATCAACTGGTTTTCTTCCCTGCTGTAAATAGCTTACGAGAATTATTTACATTTGTGAACATGCGAAATGCATGATTAGACAGAGATGGAAAACTTACCAACCCATTCAGCGTGCTCTACTCTTTCCATTCCCACAAGACCTGCTCTGGGATTCCGGCTATTTTCTTGGCTTGTTCAGTGTGTGTTCAATATGTTCACTGCTACCCTGTGTTCGGCAGGCCTATCCAACTGTATTAGATCTCAATTGTACGAGCCTATAATTTGTATTCTTCATTTATAGTAAAGTGGCTGTTTTATGCCTCGTTTGAACAACGTGTTTCCTCTACTCACATCAAGGAAACATGCGACAACACCAGTCTATGTAATGTTCAGTATGATCTCTTCAATTAAAAAAAAAAACGTTCGCATAATACTAGTACTATTACGCGTCAGCAGATTCTTCAGTCTTCAGGCCTTGGTTTAATTATTTTCTTTTGTTGCTAAAATTCGTTCTACTGGTCATCTTGTGCATACCCCAATATAACTCAAACGGACCCATTTGAGATGCATCATTAGATCCATTATATGGTTCATAAGAGTACTCGAATCGTAACTGGATTTTACCGTCTTGATTCTAATATAATCCTTTATTAGCTTGGCAAAACACGAGTTCGCCGATAATAAAGGCTAGACCCAACTGCGGTTCCTGGCGCCGCTTTTTCACCCCAATGTTCTCAGGCCCATTCGACTTCAGGATCATATGCTTCATCGACACCTCGGCCGCTTTCGATAGTACCGGTACCTTGCTGCGCAGCAAGAGATGATAAGACGGAAAGCGAGCTCTCACCACTAACAATTGGGTTTTGGCTTAAAAAACCTGGTTTTTCGATGAGCATCCTTTCAGCGTCTTCAATTGAGTTTATATCCACTCGGACCCGAGCTTCTGCTGGCCCGACCATCGACGGTTCGTATGACACGCCTGACGATGCACCGGTTGTGGTAGATCGTGACCCTCTCCTGTAAATACAATATTAAAGTGAATCATAGTTAAGTATATAGGGCTGGTTAAAGCTAACACTACACACTTATAGCCGTATAAAAAAGCAACACCGTATTTTAAAAGACCATTAGCATTTTTGCTAGAGGATTAAAAAGGCGGAAATTTTAAAGATACAATTTAACGAAGATCTTGTCTCTAAAATTTTGGCCTTGTCTTCGCAAAAGCGACAGTATTGTTAGGTAAAGTATAATTGCATGGGCTGTGTGTACCTTGTATTCCATGTATTGCGTACTGCTTATGCATTTATAATGTGCAAGGTAACAAAATTATTTTGAAGTAATTTTCCGAAGGTTGAAAATACCCTATATGTAATATCTGGAACGCCAGATATTATATTTATCCTGTTTAAAATTAATTAGCGACATGCGCTGCTTGCTATGGCAATGGCTGAACACCTCAGCGGTAATTGTTATACAAAAATTCTGTAAAAATTAGCTTACGACATAAAGGGCCCGCTGCAGAATGTCAACAGACCAGTAATCATGAAAAACTGCAAAATTCATGGACCTCTCATGAGCATTGTAGAAAAATAAATCTATGCAAATGCTTTTGCACATTGACAACCATTAATTTTCTTACCTCCCGCATCGGAACTGACCGCAGGCTTTCTTCCTCTGCCTTTCCCTTAAATATAATTAACTCAACGATTCCGAGGTTAATAATGCGTTCATCATAATTTCGTTGTATGCAACGAATTGTAGTATTATTAAGATTCAGTAGCTGCTTGCGCTTTTTAACCTGATTCTCATTTGACTCATTATGGTTCAGGTAATCGAACTACAGGCCTATTCCTTATAACTGTCGCCTTGGGTAACTCACGTACTTTCAGTTGTCATAATCTTATCTTAATTTTTTCTAGAAAAGAGCTACCGAATCCATATCTGTATTCAAAAAGCCCATCGACTTCTTCTACAACATCGTTTATTTAATTGTTGTAATTTACTTGAACCATTGAAAATAGCTTTTCTATATAAAAAAAAAAAGTACAAGCTTTTTAATTTGTAAACACGAATGTGAACTGCAGACATCAATATCGCTGACTGCGACTCTTAAAGATGTAAATAAATAGGGCCGTGTTCCAACCACGGCTTCAGCCTAATCTCGATGACATTTTTTTCTGGTGGTTGAGATAACATCTAGCCACTACAAAGCAAGACAAATTTTTTCGAAGTACTAGCCAAGTCGTGGCAGCTGTGGCCACTTCAGGCCATTTCATCACTACAGTTATCGCTAATGCTGGAAAATAGCTCAACCTGTATCGCTACAATTGCGCAACTAGACAAAAAGATTTGTAAACTTCACCCAGTTTCTCGTTGGCCTGTACAAATAATCGCCATTGACAACCATACGTTCATCTACTGTAGGAACATTCAAGGCACACTGCTCTTGAGGAAGAAATCTAGTCGTACATACAATCTGTTCGCATTCCAGCTAGGTGTGAACTCCCGGACCTTTCCTGGGATAACGAAACTCGTCCATATGGCATAACATGGACAACCGGGCCTGCAAAGCCATTGCCACGTGCACTTTCGCATAGTCATACATCACAGAGTGCAGTTGAAAAGTTGGAAGAAATCTACTGAAAACTATTTAAAACGTAAACTGTAAAGCTGGAAAAAGTAAAGGTAATAGGAGTTACCACGGAAATATCAAAAGCATCCTTTGGGGAATAATACAAGCGTATTGCTTTAGTCACAATCGAAAAGAGGCTGACGGATTTACCTCCACGGAAGGTTTCGTTGGAGGTTCAAAAGAAAATGCAATATAAGGTCACTTGCGGGAAGAGTTCCTTCAGACGTAACGTTATTGTACCACCTGTATACACCTTTGAAAACAATAGATGAGAATTATACAGTATGGTATTAGCTATCCTAACGTCGCGATGTTTCTGAGAATTTCTTTAGCATTCTAGACTTCAACCGAATCGATGGGGGCAATCATTCAATGGGTAGATAATTCACGAATTCAGACTTCAGCGATACCTTGAAGCTGTGGCTTTCTAATGTACCGACATGCTTTCAGTAAACTGGTCTTATGACAACAGTTCAATAGTGGGCATGTTGCCTTAAATGTTACGACTTCTGAATGGTTTCAGGCGGCTGGCCCTTAGCACGAAACAAAGTGTATTTACCTCCGGTTTCGAAATAAGATCACCTCTCGTCAGCGTGTTCGTAAGTTTAGTATGTAAACACGTTACCACTGCACCAGCACGGGACTGGCATGTTGTTCTTCATTGGTGTATCATTTTGTACGCCAGATAGTGACCTACGATTTCACCAGTACTTATTGTATTTTCTGTTACCGTCTCTGCTGAGGGAAAGCAGATTTCCTCGCGGGCCGGTGATATTGGTAGTTATTGATATTAACCGACCGCTGATATTGGTTGACGGCTGTTGGTGCAATGCGCGAAAAAATATCTAAGTTCATCGTTGTAACTTGAAACATTCAATCTCACGGTTCGTGTTCATTAGATTTTTGTGTAGGTTCCGGTTCTCTTAGCACATATTGTGATGCTTGGGATGAAATGTTTATAACGTTTGTTTTGTATGATGCTACATCTATTAAAAGTCGATTGTAGAGCAGTCATTCAACACTTGTTCAAAAAATACTGCTCGTACAGATTGCTATAAGCCAATAGTGGCGTGTAAAAAAGTGTGTTTAATATAATTAAGGAACGTGCAATCATTAATTTACCTGGTAGGTTGTCCTTTCTTGTGGCAGATGGCAAGCCCTAGTAAGCAAGCTGCGTCACAGATGTGAAGTTTATCATAATACGGAAACCATCCTGGAGGCTGTTCGCCCGATTCCAAAGGTAACATATAAAGATCCTGGAAATTAAAAAAAATTCATTGCGGATTCATTGACTGAGGGTTCAAAATTTGACTAAAAAAACCCAGATATTAACTATTAAGCCATGCCGAGTCAGTACCACCATTGTTGGACTTAATTAAATGGAAATGCTCAATCACGAACCTTAACCCTTGTGTGCTTCATCTCTTGAACAACGCCTAGACGACTTCTTGCTTTTAGCATGCGGATGATTTCCAACAAATCATCCGCATGTCCTTCGTCTGTGGATGCGGGTTTTACCCGAACAACGATGATATCTTTGTTTGCATGCTTCAATCTAAAAATCAATGAAGAACGTTGAAAATGACATTTCGTTAATGAAGATCTCATCGTTATCACGAATCATGGCGCATATTTGCGGAATCCAGATTTATTCTCTCGAGGCGGGGCAGTTTGATTCCAATTACTGGAAATTTACTTAAGACTTCAAAAAAAAATAAAGATATTAAATGCATTTTTTAGATAGACAACCTAAATCTAAGTTCAACATTGAAAATATGAATATGAAGTTCAACATTGAAACCCAAATGTATACTTTCTGAGAATATAATTTAAGGATATATTTTCCCTGTTTTGTCTTTGATACGTTTTTAATTAATACATGTATATAGAGATGAGCTTAGAATCTTTTTTAGCAGTTTATTTAGCCGTACAGTCTGCATACTGCATGATTTTCACTTAAATATTTGAGTGAGAGTCTTGGTACATATAAAAGCAAGATTCTTTAAACTAACTATATCACTTAAATTAATTCAAATAGGCTGCTTTTCTAAGAAACACCAATGTGCCCTTTCGAAGAACAAAGCATAGAAAAAAGGAGCCCTACCTAGCGAGATAATCCTTGACACCAGCGGGCTGGATGTTTCCACAAATGACGAGGCTGTCGGGAAGGCCAATTTCGAATCCGGTATCGACCGGACCGGCCGCATGGGATATCCTCGCCGAGAAATGAGCAGGGTCCATTCGTATGGCGCCCTCCCAAAGAACTGCCACATCCTCAAGCATATTTGGGGAGAGCGGTAGCTCTGCAGATTTTTCATCGCCACTACATTCCTCATCACCGTGCGGGTTCGTGAGTGCAAATGGTGAAGCCGACGACGTAGATGACGTGCACCGTTCGAGTGCCCTCACCTTTAACAATCATGATGAAAAATGAAGCAGGATGATCAAAATTACATTCATGAATGTATATTTTAACTTTTCTCAAAGTTTCAGTATTAGTAATCATAAGTTTTACCATATTCATAGAATGCATTATACAACATTTGCTTACCAAATCCAGCATGTGGTTCAAAAAGTTAACTCGGTAAATTTTCATTAGAGATTACATGAAGTCCTGTCAGTTCGTAAACTTTGCGTAACCTAACTTTGAATAAGAAATCAACAGAGCTGTTTCCATTTCTCTCATGCACAAGGAAAACGTAATCATTTTGACGAGTGAGTGAAACAACTTACCGTTCACTCATATAACTGTTTACTTAGCGCTGTGTGCCCACCAAAAAGGCCACATATAATCAGCTTGAACTGCATCATACTGGATAGATTCCTTAGCGCTTACGGCACTACTAGCTTAAACAACAACGAAAAAGGGCTAAACTGCGAAAAGAGTGCGGTTGCTTAAGTAGCACAATTTAACTTTGACACACTAGCTTTACATACTGAACATACTGTTTATAAAAACGACAAGCATATTCATTTTGCGACTTTTACGGGATGCTATATATAGAGGAAGATGATCTAGTCTGTTAAGTTATCATTGTAAGCACAAGACAGAACGGGAGCAAAATCAAGGCAAATGGTCACACCAATCACGGTGCGATGTCAAAGATCTTAATGAGAAAAAATAATTCTTCTATTATACTTACTCGATCGATGATTTTCTGGGCCCGCTCAAGTTCACGAGTGTCCATTTTGTCTTCTTTGTCTCCTACCTTAAACGTATCTCTGTTATTGTGTTCTCGAGAATCCCGTTGTTTCTGTTCCTTGTCCGATGCCTCTATCGACTGGAAAATGTGGTATGATGCTACATTATTAATGCACTTTGGTCAAATATTGAGTTCAATGACTTTTTTAAAAGACATCTTCTTTAAACACAAAGAAAACAATAATAAGCATTGTTACAAATTGTTAATGATACGTTGTTTGAAAAGAACCTTACCTGCTCAATGACACCGGCTCTACCTAAGTCATTTTGCGCTCTTTTGTAAAATACTGTCACTTTATCTGCGTCCCGTAAGTGAAGACGATGGGATGTGAGCAATGAATAACCCTAAGGTCGTATTGCAAATTGTTCAAGCTATCACACTAGTTTTGGCCCTCAAATATCTGGTGGGTACGTTTTTGTAGCCAATTCAGCTATTTTTATATAGGAAGTTTCTCTGCAGTTTGCCGAGGCTCTAGTATTCAAATTTTAACAACTGCGTTTCAGACTAAATGGCATGTAGCGCTTCCTGTCTGGGTGTATACAGTTTTAGCATGAAAAGGAATAATTGGCGACAACACTTGGCTATTTCATGTTCAAGCGCGAAATCATGCAAGTATCTTTTTCAGATATATTTGCGACCTCTCAACGTCAGTGTCGTTCACTGAGCGTATGGTGTAGCGAGAGCTAGTTTTGAATATTTTCATTGAACAAATTTTTGGCAAAGGCCATAACGCTCATAAGGCATTGCCTACCAGGGATCGCGTTCAGATTCGCTAACTATTTTAAAGCTAAACAATCGTAACAACTATTTCGTAGTGTATTGAGGAATTGTCCCTTTGCTGCTCTATATATAAATACTACTTATTTATAGCGCGTCCTTACCTCTTACAATTGATGATCTATGAACGATCGTTAGAAACATAAAATACGACCAGCTGCACTAACTCTCGTAAACACTCTATGGAAATAAGCACTCGTAAATTTTCTCATTTATATGATTGCCTAATGTATTGAGTGTTGCTGCCCATACAAGCACTGACCCTTCGAGTGGAAGACTCCTTGTTATTGGGTAGCCGTGGTCTGTCTAAAACGGGTTTGTCTTTGTCCTTATCAGCGGAATTTTTGCTTCCCGTTTCTTTCCCATTCGTCCGTTCCCTAGCACATTTTCTGTTCCTGTCTTTGTCCTTTAACCTGGCGTCATTTTTTTCGTTATTCCTGCCACGTTCTTTCTCCCGTTGATTGTTAGCTTTCTCTTTTTCTTTGACAGTTTTTTTGTCAACTTTTTTTTCTCTACTGCCATGATAGTTATCCTTTTCTGTTATCCTTTCTCCCACCTTGGTTCTTCTTGAGTCTTTATTTTTTTTTTCAGATGGACCCCCGCGGCATTCATCGGCCAAAGGAGCAGCATCGGCCAATAGCTGTAGAGCATCCTGGAATTATTTGTAGTACGAAACATTTATTACTCCAGAAGCGTATTTATACCTTCTAGGAGTTCCTATTAAATTAGGGAATACGCAAAATAGAGTAACTATTAAGTAACTGCTTATGAGTGAGTACTGCATCGATGCTGCGATATAAAAGGAGTTTGAAGTTTCATATCTTTGACACTACTGTCGGAAAAAACGTGTTTCACCAGTACTGAGTGCGTAGAATCTATACAGTATGCAAACACGCGCTCAAATATCCGTATTCATTTGTAAGAAGGCATTATATGTGTATATATACTGTTACAATTAAATAATCAATGAGACGATATTTGACTGACCTTATCCGTCACATTGATTGCGGCCTCCTTCTTGTACAGCTCCAGGTTATGTTGCGATTCACGTTCTCTCCAACGAGCCATTTCAATACTTAATTCATCGGGGCCCATTCTGGTATAAAACACATCACATTGATTTCAAAATGGCCTTAGTGCGCTAAGCGACTGTAAGAATGGATGCCAAGTTTACGTATCACTATTAAACACGATGTTTGACATATATCTAATTGTGTTTTGGTGAAAATACTCTATCTTCTACTCACTTGACTAGCTGCGTTGGCTCAATTTCACCACTGACGACCCGGCGCCATAATTCATTCTTAGGATCTTTCATATTGAAGCACAACGAACGAAACCTGTGAAGCGGTTAGAAAAAAGTAACACGCCCTGATTGGAGCAAAGGAAATAAGGATCTTTTTTTAATACACAGCAAAAAGCTAGTGTACAACAGTAACTCCAATGTGATTTACGAGTCTATTAACGTAATGCCACCGGTAGAAAATATTCCTTTTAATCCACTTTAGTTGAACCAACAAAAATTACAGGATTAGTTTTATTTGCAGATCCAGTTATTTTTCAACATTTTCGAAAGACGTATCAAATTTAATAATTTATGATATTGTGTAAGCAATTAATTAACAATTTTAAGGGTGCCCAAGGAGAACCGTGTTTAAATAAATAAAAGCTGTCTTGATTGAATTTGGTGTAAATGGCAGAACGCACAAATGTATAGTAATTTACCTCATTGACAAATTCGAACAGGGCCGTGATACGCATACAGACGTGACAGGGGGTCTCTAAGTAGTACATGCACCTACAATTTTGTTTTTCTTGGGACATTTACACAACTACTTACTTAACCCTATAATTTTTTGCGACGCCCGCGCAATGTGTCCACAAAGCCCTCTCGATGTTCTGTGCAAGAGATGTAGCAGCATCGCCAGCATGATCTCCCAATTGTGGCTGTGAAGTGCCTTTTTCATTTCTACCTTCTCTTTCACACCTTTCACGAACAATACGCGCCAAAGCATTGACTCCGTTTCGTCGAGCATCTTCGTTGGTGCTCTGCAAACAAAAATGCTACTATCTTGAATTTTTATTGCGTGTCACTCGTTCAAATTCAGTGCGGTTTTGACAACTAGGTCTTTTATTTCTGATATTTCATGAAATGCGTGCTCCGTTTTCGGCCTCTTGTTTTTGTTGAGAGACGTAATCAATAAAGATGGTGCTGCAATGAGCCTGAAACGTTTTCAAAAAAGTAAAATTCTAAGTATTCCGGCCATTTGGTTTGCAATCAAACTGATCTAAAGGTAAACTAACTAGGTTCTCTACTATACCTGCTGCTGGTGCCCAGATATTTGCAACTGGGTTTGATGTTGCTTAGACGCTGGTGTTGATGTCCATGCGCTTGATTGCTGAAGTTGCTTCTCCCCGCTAATGACGATAGCATTGCCACTGTCAGCACTGGTTAAGCTTCTCCTTCGCTGTTCTATTCTAGGCTTATTTGTTGGCACAGGCGATGATTTTTTGGCGATAACCTGAACAAACACATATGCCGTTAGAATACAATCGGTCACACCGAAGGTATGCTACCTCAAATGGCACCGCAGATTTGGACGGCTCTTCAAATGGTGCCGATTTAATTATATAATTGAGTTGAAATTTTCAGACATCAATAGCAATCTTCATTTTTTCTTCTTCACTTTAAAACCCTTATCGACAGCAACTCGATTCCTGACAAGACTAAACGCCTTTCCCTGTTTGCTCTTTACCCTGCATGTTAAAGATGTCCTTTCAGTAAGCAATCTATTATCAAGATCTATTGTTTTGATCTAGCTCGAGATAAGAGCTAATTACTGCAGTTCCCAAATAAGACTAGTACGAGGCCGCCACAAAGGTGTGCTGTTCTCACTATCCAACGATCATATTTACATTCATAACGTTCGTTCTATTTTAAATGCGTAATCTAGTAAATTTGAACATGGTAAATCTCTTTCTAATTGCTTGCGGTAGTTATCTACGTAGTGCCAGTACAGTGTACTGTATCCATTCAATTGCCCATAGGTTTTTCAATCCAACTTTTTCTTCGCTACTATGGGACACTGTTTTAGAATACCTATTATTTTCTTCGACAAATACGACTCATTACCGACCTCACTAGTCGTTCCTTATTGTGAAAAACCGACGAAGTCAGAACAAGAAGGGCCTGTTTTAGAACAATGAATCTGATCCTGTTTATATCCTACGCTTGTATAATTTATCCATTGTTTAGCTGCTAGCATTTCTTTATTGTCCCCTCTTCTCGGTGTATTCTAGTATAGATGAAGTAATTTCACTTACTTGGAAATCGAATAGAATGTGTTCTAATTGAAGTTGCTCGGAAGCGGCGCAATCATGATGGAATAATGAGCTTTTTAATTAATCGTTATCGTGTGTTCCTTGTTAATTTTGCCGTTCTTCGGTAAATATTAAGCGTGTGTTTGCATGATATAAAATCTTCTGTACGTAATTTGTTATTCTTAGTCTTAAATTAGTGCAATTTTGCAAATAGGAACGTGCAATTACGAACCTTGGGGTCGTTCTTTCGAGCCTGCGCTAACGGTGGATTGTGAACGTGACCCTGATTCTCGGCTAAGGATTGGGATGTGGCCGTTGTACTATCATCTGTCGGCGTTCCTTCGTTGTTGGCCAATTTTGCATTGCCTTTACGGTCTGGCATCGTTTTCGAGGACGCGGTTTTATTCGGAGGTGCAATTAAGGATGCACCCTTTCGACTACTTAAATTACTACTACTGGAGCTAGAACCAGCAGTCAGCGATACATTCTTATGCGCTATAGTAGTTATATTATGAGAACTAGTTGTTTCATGCTGGAGTGCTGGTCTCGAAGAGGCCCCTACGTGGCTTTGATTAGTAGACGAAGGAACTGATGAATCACGTGATACAATGTCACACTTATTTTCATCTAAGCTATTGGCATTCGAAGTTTTGTTAGGGCTACCACACTCTTTCTCCTTGGAATCCTCGGTGTGCTTATTTTTAGGCACAGGTCTCCGAATTGCGCTCGCTTGATTTGGATTAATCTGAAAGGTGGGCCTGCGGCAAAGCCATTTCTCTGTCCCGTCAACAGTTGCATTTACAAGGTTGATCGCCTTGCCGGTTGATATTTCCACCATTGATACGCGAACCTAAGCAATACAGCGTTTAAATACACATCAAATTCACGACACATTTTAGCCATATGTCTAAGAGCATGGTTTCCTTCAAATTACTGCATACATACTGAGTCCGCATGGTCTAATAGGCTTCTCAGTTTCATTCCTAAGGTTAGTCAGTTCGTTCTAGGCCTGATATGGTAGCCCCACTATCGGAAATTGGTGCAGAAAAACATTCGATTATCAGAATACTTGGAATGAGCGCCAATTCGTAATCATTCTAAAAAAAACCTATCACATTCGCACTTAATTATTTTTCCTAGTACACAAAACTCAGAAACGAGGCGCGGACTCGTAACTCGAATAACTTGTCCTGCTGTCACATTAGTAAGGCTACTATTACAATATTTATTTAATCTATGTCAGCGCTTGAAGGAATCCGGTATAATTCTAAATATCTTAGTAGAGCGTTAGTAAATGAGCACTAATTATTTATACTATCAAATAAGTGCACTTATAAAGACGTACTTCGAGGCCTTCTTTCTCTGCTCGCTCTATAATGGCCGGCAGGTACTTATTAACATGACGGCTTGTGCACTCGACATTGCAGAATCGATGTGTTGGTTCCCCAGGTACGACCTATAAGTACCATACAAATCTTTCACTGTAGTTTAAGCAAAATCGACAGATAATATTGGTTACTATAGTTCATACGATGCGATTATTTACTTCTTTTTTTTTTTGTTTAATTTTCATACCTTAAACACTTTACATTTACATGGGCTCAGCTCTTAAATACCCTAGAGAATTCGATGTGTTATATCCCGGTAACTAGTTTGAGCTGCTGATGGTAAGAACAGCCGAACCTGAAAGTGGTTTTTCTTGTTTGCAGAGAGGGACTGATGAGACAGCTGCTAATATTAAAAGAAACAAATAAATTAATTAAAATTAAGTCGATATACTCCACAAGGGCTCGTAAGAAAGGTAAAAAAAAATAAACGATTTTATGTTCTTTGAGATATACCACTATCATTATCCGTGTGTCAGAGTAAAGTAATATGAGAGTACATGAGTGGCAAAAAATTTGTGTCAAACGGATAAAGGTACTTTGCCTGTCTTGCGAGAAGGAGCTATGATTTTACCTAGAATATATGAAACTGAATAGAATATATAAACCTGATTAATTGTTCAGTGCCTGGCCAGCTTTAGATCATTAATGTAGCGTAGGATGATCCAACTGAGACTTTTATTGGAGCAATCAGGTTATCATATTACTACTTTATTTTTTATTTAATTTTATTTATATATTTATTTAATTTATCTATCGAACGAATCGTCTAACGCAAAGTGTTCGATTTTAAAGAGTCCTTCGATGGTGAGGCAGTATAATTCAGTGTTTGAGACATTTGACCTGGAAATGTCACTTTGGGACAAGTACATGGTGCTAGATTTTAAGTGACATTTAAGAGATGCGTTCATCCATTATTCTTGCTATTAAATGAACGCAAGCATTTTCCCAAACAACACTACAAACTCATCATGGCGCAGACAAGAGGTCCATCTTTGGGACCTTAGTGAAGGCTAGGTATTATCGCATATCTTCGCGTTAGGCGAGTTTCACTGATGTTCAAAATTTTTTTCTGCCTGTTATCAGCTGTTCATGTCACCAGTTTTCATGCAACTTCCGACGAATCCGAAGAAGTTTTTCAAGAGTCAAAGCGGAAAGACTTCAACAGGATTTAAATCAAAACGGCTTAAAAATTTATCAAAATGATGATCTGATAATTCTGGATTGATAGCGCGAAAACTGGTGGTGGTTTCAGAATGAAAAACATCCACTATTGAATGAGATGTCCAGAGCTTAAGCTGTTAAGCTGTAATGGTTATACTTTTTGCACCTTTTAGACATTTTGGCTGCGTTGAATGAATGAATGTAACAAGTCTACACTTATTAATATCGTTTAATGCACGATTACCGTTGAGAGCCTACTGGCGGATTAGAGGCCAAATATCTGGAAAATTGCTAATCATGAGTTAGGTCTCATATTAAAGGCTCAACAGCCGTGTAGGGACCAAAGGTTCCAAGAGAAAAATAAAGTTTTTTTACCATAGATTTGTATTACTTCCTCAAAGGTAAATAATTTATTATGCCTAGCCATTAAGCTACTTAGAGATGTCTTAAACGAATATATCTTAACCGATGAAGTCACTTTTTTATAGATTCATACTCTGCATTTTAATATAGGTAAGCGGAAGATACATCGAAGAAAAATTACCGCCAGGAATGACACTTTTAGCACGTGCAAAAAGTTCAATAAAAATATGTGTCTTTATGTAGATATAACCTCAGAAATACTAATAATAATAAATCGTAGCTGATAGAAGAATCGTTTTTTTTTTTTTACTTTTTATGGTTCTAAACACGTTCTAATATATATAAAATCCATAACGTAATTCCTCATGTAACCCTACATATAAAGATATAAAAAAATCAGTAGTCTTATAACGCGCGTCTTCAAAAATATATGCCACTCAAATATAGTGTGCCTCTAGAACCAAAGCTATTTTGTTAAAAAAAATATAACGTGATTCTTTCGTATAAAAAATCGTCGAAATCCTCGGTACTGCTTCGATGGGACCTAGGTGGGGTATAAAAGCATTCCTTTAATTGCCACCGGGAAGACCGATAGAGTAAGAGTAGTATACTTCACACAAAGAAAAATTATATGTTTTATATAATTAACTCATTTTATGGATGGGGTACCCCGCATCCGCCATTACTTTTTGGGGATTTTTTTAGTAAACCGTCTCCTTTACACATTTAAGATGAAGCGAAACAGTAAACCCAAACCTTTTTGCAAGAAGCACATTGCCCAAGCACGGTATAGTTTCCAACCATAGCTGATGACACAAGTGGATGTGGTGAGAGGTTGTCGATGAGAGGAACGCTTAATTCCGCCCCACAGGGTCCTAGGCCAGCCCCAGTTGACCGAGAACCTGAATTAGAAGAGATACGTGACCCTGTTGCCGATGACGCTCCGCTCTGACCATTACGCTTTTTCCTGAAATAATAGTAAGTAAGTCGATTAATATCATATAATTACACACACATATTTGTAATAATACACACATAATTGTATTTTTTGATCCTATCTTTTTACCTTTTGTTTTACAAATGTCTCACTTATTTTTATATAACGCTTGAATATTCTTTTGAATAAATTTGAGCTTGTGAACTTTTTATCCAGGACACATTTGTCTGATATCGGCTGACGACTGTTAAATGACTGTGAAAATAGCATTTTGAAGGATTGATAGTAGCCATCATAACCAATAACTATCTCAGTGCTTCCTTGCATTTTCAACAAGTTTTGCTTACTCTTTTTGCTATTGCGCGGTACAAATGAGATATCGGTACGTACAGATTTAGAGACATCTCGTAAATGAGGACTTCGATTTACCTTTTGGATGTTTTTGTTCAAATTTACATAGTCGTCCATACTTTTCCTGTAAAATGCCCTCATGGCGCACACAATTACGCACATCTCTATTTACGTACCGTGGTCATATGATGCTTATAGACTTTGTTTGAGCGAAACCTTACGATTAGTACACATAAGCATCGTCAATCAAACTAGACTCACATAAAAGGCTACCTAATGCCCCGGGCTCCATTGGCGAAATCCTTCTTGGTCTCAAGACTCTAAATTCACTATACGTCTTCCTTATCGTATGTGGTTCGTTAGGTCATGTTGTAGTTATGTATGGTATTCTTACATGATTTCTGTGATGAAAAAACATAACTACAACTACATAGGACAAGATATTGCACTCGACATTATACTCCCTTTCTCGTATCTAAATGCACCTTTCTGGGAAATACAGTGCCATTAACCTGTCAAAGGTTTATTAAATGTCCAGAGGAATTTAATGATAGATCAAAGCTTCCATCAAGCTTGCATCCATGTTGTAACCTGTATGTCTTTAAGAGCGGACTGTGCCGATTTACCCAAGACATACGCACTATGTTTGTTCAGTTCCATACTGTAAAATAATGTTAGCTGTGAGTATTGTACCTCTATGAGCCATTCTTTCTAGTACTGTGTTTACCAAAATCGCCGTTGGGCTTCCTTGATATGAAGTCTTCGATTAAGCAAATCTTGAGCTAGCTTTGTAGGGTCAGTAGAAAAAAGTTTATGGCTATTTTGGCTGCTTTAGTACGTTGTCACGCTTAGACCTCTTACACGTATCTGTTTGCACCATTTCTGCGTCGACGAAATCAATGCACTGGAAGTCGCAAAGGTGGGTATAATAAATAATGCTTTTATTTAGCTCATAAAACGTATGTTACGTAAATGCTCCGCCATTTGTCGAACTGCAACACCTTTTTTTGAATAAACAAGGACTATATCGTATTGTCAAACCGAGAAATCTGCAACTACCCCTGGGCTTTTAGAACCCTTTGCAATTCTACCACTGACGTTTCTACGTTGCCTATCCACCCCGTTAAGCTTGCGTCGTTCAATTTCAGTTCCGGCAGTTTCTTAAGCTATTGATATGTGATAACGACTTGGTCTTCGGTGAGTTCCAGCTCTCTGAAGCCATGCTTTACCGCAGTATTAAATATAAAATTCCTTATATCTTTAGACATTCGATTACTTCGACCTTACTTATATCCTTCGTCCTTTGTCTTACCGCAACAGTAATTAAAGCAAGGCAAAAGTGTTCCTAAGTCACTTGCTTTATGTCTTATATGGTTGCCGACGTGTTTGGTTAGCCATATTTTGCGAGTAAGTAAATAAAGAATTTGAGTTGCTAGTGTTAATATGTTGTTCGGATATACTTATATGAAACTTGAAGCCCGTATCGGTCAAACATGGCGTGTGCTTCACTTTAAATGTTAAGAAATTTTAAGTTTCAGCTTCCCTAGGAAATCCTGAAGGACAACTATGTGAGAATACATAGGTTAAAACGTAAAACACATTTCACAAGTGTTGGTATTATACATTCTTCATTCTTAAGGATCGTATTCGTCCAATTACATAAATGCACGATAAAAATAGGAAAAAAGTGGAACTTTAATAAAGCTAGCGACAATTATCTGTTTTTAATATATACGTGTATTATTAGACTATACTAATGATAAGTGTTAATTCGCTTGTTTATTTTATCTTCATGTGTTAATGTAATCTTTTAACTACATAGTAAAGATGAAAGGAAGCTTAAATGAAAAACTTAAACAATACTTAAGACAGTTACCTGCAGTTTGAACAGAACCATTCGTGACCTGTCTTTTCCATGCGTGCACCTTCCGCCTTTGAAACTCCAACACATCTCCCATGAAACCAGTTCTCACATTCATCACACGCAATCATAAATTGATTATTATGTGGTTTATGGCATACACACCTGTAAAAAAAGATGATTTGAATAAATTCGATATATTTATCCAAGCATAAAGCAACGAAAAAAGACAGGTTCTAAAAACCGTTTAAAAAGTTAAAATATTCAAGATCTTTCGCTTAGTTCACTACCTAATTATTAGTGAAATATAAGCGAAAGGAAACTGAATGCAATTTGTCTTAATGACGGCAACGACACAGTGATCATTGCTATATATATTTATTTATTTTCGGCATTGGTACATTTCTTAAACCCTGAAAATAAAGCTTTTTACAGAATATGGCTAAGATTGCCTGTCTTGAGCATTTGCAGTTATTTTTTTCAATTATACAAAAGGTGAACTTTTAGGTAGGAGACACACATTATAACCAAAATTTTTTATTTACGCAACTTTAATAGTGGATTATAGATACAGGCGCGCACTTTACAAGAACATATATCTTCTACATGGTAAGGCGGGAATAAATGGTAGATTCATCCTGCAAATATGGAAGAGATTTTCTGCCATACCGCGACAATTTGCAAAAAACTATACCCATAGATACATAATTTCGTTTTTATTAAATGTATATCTATAGAATGAAGTGTGTACACAGACTACTACTCGTATGAATCACCTACAGTGACTATAGAATTAAAGCCAAATTGGCTGAAAGGTTGAACGTAAACCGGTGGTTTAAATCTTTCTTTTTTTTTTCCAGCTACCATTCGTTTTTATTCGCCCAACATTATAGACTATTCAAAAACGTTTTCACTGTTCTAGTAATCAATGGCGGAAGCTGTGAGGTACTTCAGACTAAAAAGAAAAAGCAAAAAACCCTTTTTGGTTGAATAACAAAGTTTTACTTTAAGATCGGTATTCTAAAGAAAAATATTGTTCTCATTTTCTATTTTCGTCGTATTTTTTTACAAATATACTATTTTTCATTTACTATCTTTTATAAGGAACTAAGATAATTATTAAGACTCTTTTAGATTTAATCTTGTACAATTTTTTATTACCATAAGGCTTATTCATCTGAAGTGTATGGATTAATTATCGACATATGTAATCATTTGCGTAGTCTGGTTCCTGACCACCAGGGGGTGCTATGTCCTATGTTCTTAATAGTGAAATTACGTAATCTCGTTCGTCACCACAAAGAGTAAGCACTCTAACTTTCAAATATTTTACGTAAAAGACGGGGTGAGAGACCCAGTACCTGATATGCTAATAAAATGTTTAAAAAAATCACAAAAAGGGTTTTCTCATTTGCCTTTCGGCGTTATCGAAAGGCTAAAAAATCGATCCGAGTATTTGCACCGTCTACGGGGAGTAATGCATAAGACTGGCTTACTAAAATTAAAGGTACGCCCGTGGAATACGCCCAACTTTGATTGATTTTTACAATTTGACGTAAATCATCCTCAATACAATATAATGTAAAAAAACCTCTACGAAGGAAGTGGATAACATGACGCAATAAAAATGGCTTTGTTCGCATGTACGGCGGCGGCTATGCGTAAAGCACAAGAACGATTTACAGTACCGGTAGTCGCCGCTTCAGGCTGAAATGAAAAGCCAGTTTTTTGATCGTTTTCTTGAGCCCATTAAAAAGTCTTCCAGTTCATCATTTCCAAAATGAGTACTTAATACTCGACTATTAACACAACACTGAAGACCAGCAGCTAGAGAAGATGACTTGGCCTCGGGAAATACCAAATCACTGAAGAACACGTTCCACAAATCTATCAGGTATACGTGAAAACAGATCAATGTGTCTTAAGTAAAATAACATCTATAGATGGACACAGTATATTAATTTAAATGTAGCCAAGAAGACATAAAACTGCATCTTATTAGAGTTGTCTCGTACTTAAAATACTCTGAAAATCAAGTTATTGCTGCGGAAAACTACTTCAGTCACATCTATAATGCGATTTCGAAATTTTATCTTCTTCTCGAACTGAACTCCCCAATATCTGCAGACATTTATTTCTTCAATAGCGTGCTGACTTAAGCAACACACTGTGTTATCAAGAAGAGTTCTCGGGACAGCGCATTTCACGACTCACATTGTAGTTCGATTTTCTTCACGCCAGGATATGCAATCAATGGATTTTAAAATTTCCAGTGTGTCCTTGGTACTCATAATTTCCATATATTTTTTAAGGTCATAGGTATATATTTTATTTGTAACGTCTAGTTATTGAAGGCGCATGCTTTGTACAATGATGACATGCAGGGCTTAAGCAGCTCTTTGAACGGCAGGAATTGGTAAACAGCATCAACGGTTATTTTTCCATCGAACATGGTATGTAACTCTGAACCAAACTTGTACGGCGATGGACGCGGTCCCTTCTTGCGGTCTCGATAAATTCGTAAGATAGTAAGAGATCTACTCCATTAGAAACCTGCACCTGAAGATATTGAACGAAGATACTGCTAAAGGGCAAGTAGCTTCATTACAAAATATTGACAGTATTTCATTTTATGTAAGGTCATATTTAATTTCAAGGAATTTGCAGCAACGATTTCAAGAGTAAATTATAAGTCGTTAAGATGAGCACCAGTCTGCATAGATGCGCTGAAAGTTGCTTCATTTAACTAAAGGTATACGTTTTGAAGATATCTCATTGAGGAGAATGGATAAGTCGGTGGAGCGCTGTGTACACTGTGTCAGTTTAATGTTGACGTAGGCTTGATTTCCACTAAGAGCGAAAGAGATTTTCATACGAATATTTCTTAGGTTTCTTGTCGCACATGGTACGGCAGTGGCAACACCCGCAACCGTGTGCGACGAGTAACGGCATGCCTGCATGGAACAACATTTGCATGGTAATGACGGCGGCCGCAACCGTAAGAAAAGGCGGTAGTGGCGGTAACAGTGATCGTTGCAAAACCAGCATGTCTCGTACGTCGTGAGTCCATATCTTATAAAATCAATATGTGACAAAATGTTTAATGAAAAAAGTGATACTTTGCAGTATAAACCTGCTCTTCGCAGGTTTCGGACAGAGATAAAGCTAGGCTGAATCATGGCCCCCTCCTGGATGATCCCTGTAGTAACATCTAATTGTTCAATGTATGGATAGTAGAAAAAAATAATAGGATAGTAATTTTATTGATGTTCCCGAAAGCTACACTGTCATCACGGTCAGAGGAAAAACTCCATCGTGAACATTTAATCATTTGTTTGCGTCACAAAAAAAACTTCATCCTTATCAACATCGTTTCTATTTTCTTCAAGATGACGTCGCTTGATGCAAGCACGGGCCAATTCACGCGTTCGTCAATAATCTGAAGTCGACGTGTCAGCCGACTGGGGCCTAAGTCTAGCACGAGCGATAAACTTATCCAAGGACTTAGAAGAAGTGGTACGGAGAGGTGCCAAACAGTTTTTTAAAAATATAATAATATTAAAAATGCATGATCTTGCTCCGCAACAGATTTGCAGTTGAAAAAGAGCCGTTACCAGTATAGTTTGGCGAACTTTAATTGAGAGTGGGAGAGTTGACGTTACCTACAAGCATTATTGAATAAATTACTTGTACCAGATTTCCCTGCTTATCATAAAGCTTTTGCATTTCATTTTGAAAATCAGCTGATAATTCAGCAGAAGTGAATGACATGCAGATTAGATGACAGCAAATCTTGGAATTACACATTAAATCTATTTTCGATTTTAAAGGTGTGCGCTGTTATATCACATGGCGGAACTTCGATTTTTCTGGAGTGCACATGTTTCTGCCCATATGACCAAGTCGGTTTTTACCGAAGACAACACAGCGGTCACCCAAAGAAAACTTAACACTAAAAAGGTCATGACTAGATCCTGTCTGTGTAATTACAGGAACACCAGTTGAAGTGGTTGTCATATACCTAATTAAAAAAGTCCTCTCTTAAGGCATTTCTGGAGAAAGATGGTTGCTGGCAAATAAAAAATTGACAATCAAGTGAACAGAATGCGTCCTTCGGGCACAGAACGCCATTTTAATTCAGCAAACCATTTTCGAGCAGTTATATTAGATATAGAGCTCCGCCGTTTATGTTAAAAGTGTAATAAGGTGATTCGACGGTTTTCCTGGCTTCGGAGAATAACGCAATATAGAAAACACCCGAAGCTTTGTCCTAGGACATCCAGAGCACGATTGATTTACAGATCCGATTTATGTCGATACGCGCATCGACTTGTCCAGCCCGATTCAGGAGACTTCGCTTGGTTACAACTTCCACGTTGCTTGCCATACCTAGGATGCTCTCAGACTGGCAACACTACAAACCGTAGCAAGGTCTCTAGCTACAGTAATCAAGGTGATCTGCCGGATTTAGCACATCCGATTTAGCACAAAAAATACCTGCAGTAGAAGGCCTCAGAAGTTTCACTAGTCTGCGTAGTTTGAGACGAGAGCGACTGATGAGTCATGAGTTTTCTGTTTTTAAACGCTTGAGAACTAACGCACTAGAAAAACAGCTGGATCAAACATGTTTCGGAGTAAACATTTCAAGGCGGTTCTAGCGCTGGATCGCCTTAGAGCTGTGCTGAATTCTTCCGTTCGAATGTCTTAACTTCGGTTAAAAGCTTTTTTGGTAGTGACAGGATGCAACGCTTCTTCTCATCCCCAATAGCAAAAGTAACCTAAACGTGGGAGGTTGCGTCGTATGTTCTGGAAAAAGACTACACACGTTTCTGGAAAGTGTTCATGCGATATTTAGAAAGCAAAACGGATTCTGCAGGAATATTTCCTCGTCAGCGGCATTCAGGGTCCTGTGTGACGTCATCAAACAAGTTTTAAGTTACTCTCACAATATACCTACGCAATATTCGATTATTCCGAAACAGCTTTCCATTCCACTCCAAGGAGTATCGTTTTAAGCACTCCTGCCAACACGAAGGTTTCCGCGCTTGTGCTCAACCTAAAAGCAACGATACTTCAAAAGAATGGAGTGACAATCGATAATGGAATATCAGAACTGCTAGCACGGGATATGTAACAGTGTTCCGGTCTATCATATATCATAGTCCTTTAGCCGCTTGCTGAAATGTGCTAACCCATTTACTAACTATGGCTGCTGAACTTATGAAACGGCCACACCTTTAACCAGCATATTACGGCAGGTGCAGCAGGGCTTCGACAGCTCTGTTCATTATACTTAACCCTTAGCGATTATTGCCCTACAACTCCGCATAGGGGGTGAATTCAACTTGGAAAAATCTTATTTTGGGGAATATTGAGCAACTAAATCAGACAAAGGCTTCCTTCCTCAAAAGGAGGCCTTCGTATACTTCAGGTGGGACTTCAGAGAACAGATTATGGGCACGGTAACACCGAATGTAAACCGAAAAATGGAGTAGTATAATGTAATAATTGCTGTATCCAAAATGATCTCACGAACACCAAATCGACTGCTTCCGGCGTTATCTATGACCTTAATGTTTTGCAAAGTTATTATATATATAATATATCAAACCTTTAGAGTTACTTTGTTATGCGCATGTGTGTATTTTAAAGATAATTATTTAAAGGATAATTTTAATTATAGAAAAACCTGACGAAGGTAAATAAGTTTGATTAGAAATAAGTAAATAAAGAAAAGTGCATACTATTTCTCCAAATAAGTAAGAAAAATTATAATAGCGATTTAACATGCAATTTAGTCGGAAAATTGCTCTTTGAGCATGATTGGATCTAAATAATACCCAACATAAGCAGCCCCTAAAACCTCAGCAAGGTCCCTGCGTATATTTCTGTATAAAATGCAATTCCAGAGCAAATCTTAGAAGCGTTTCGCATTTTCAATCTCCAGAATTTTAATTTATCCCGTTTTGTTGTCGATTCGGAGCCCCCATGTTACTTACAAGAACACCCTACGCCTAATTCTTTAACTTGGGCTCGTCTGTACAATCGTATAATCCCAATATGTAACACACGTTTTTCTGGATATGCGCACATTTTGGTCTACTTTTCCAAGGCTAAAACTAAAGCGCTGAATAGTTATACTAATTAGCGTCTCTGCTCTGGTACAGAATGGCATACTGTTCAAAATATTGAAATACCAAGACAATTTGGTATTTTGTATGGGTAGCTCATTTTTATACCAAAGGTGTTTCCTTTACATTTTGACTAAACGGATGATATCTGTATATGAAGTAAAAAACAAACCAAAGTTTTTCGGGATCGTTGTCTGAGTTCCATTCATCATCATCATCAGGCGGACCCTCGTCAGTAACCTCTGAGCTCGATAGGTCGGCTTGCACGTCGGATTTTACCTCCCACTTTGAAAAGCCGCCTTCTCGGTTTCGATTTCCGCACTTGAACATGGATTTTCGCGCATGACTCCTTCTCGAACTTGATAACGTGCCCTGTTACAAAAGATTGAAATAACTAGTTAGGTATCTTCTATGGGACTAACAGAGTACGCACTCCCAAATATTTTCTAATTTCATCCGCAGTAAGAAATATTATTACTACGACTCGCTTTTTGTCAACGTCTTCGAAAGATATGGGCAAAAGACTCCTACCCGATTTAAAAAGGCAACAGGAATCTAGGAAGTAAGGGCAACGTTGTATCCACAAACTTTTTTAATGCACTTTCGAGCCATTTTAGGGAAACCTCTGCCCCATTCTGTTAGCTGCGCGTAGCAAGTCCACTCACCGTTCTCCAACTAATTCCATAGATGTAACCCTTGGTAACGATACAAACAACAGTATACATACCAGATCTTTCTGCAGTCCAGCTGGCACAGCATTGGGCAGTCTGGTTCGTTGCTGAGCCAATCCAGTGCCAGAGCGCCGAGGCTGGGGAATTGTGCTGCTTGTAGTCACCAAATGCACCTGTCCTAATAGACCTCTCTGTCGACGTGATTGTTTGGCACCTAATAGTTTTGGTAGTTTCCTTTGCTCATTATCCTCGCTGTCGTCCGACACATAGTCTTCGATATTTTTGCCCATTTGCCGTTTGCGCTCGAGATTTCGTTGAAATTTTTCTTTAGATTTGCGAGATGGTCGAGCAGAGGAGCATACAGCTCCGGGGGATTTCATTCTTGCTGTATCGATTGCACATACCTAAAATTATAGTTCGTATCAATAGAATAGGTGATTGATTATTTGTCAAAAACAGAAAACCTCAATAACAATTAGTACATATACTATGCTGTCTGCAGGCCTTTATCGATTACAATGGATAGATCATTGGATCTATGTGTTACGGATTTTCCTAACTACATTAATACGAAAACAATTAATTTATCTACTCTTAACAAGTTGTGTGCAACGATCTTTATTTATGCACAGATACAAACTGTGCTGTATATAGCCACACCGAGAAACAGAGCAACGTGAAAATTCCAATTCTTTATAAATAAAGGCCACATTTAACAGTACCTAAGGTTGAGGTTACGAAAAAGTTCATGGCATATATATATATATAAACCACAGCACATTTTTACGTACGTGCGCGAAAAATTCTAGAGCACCATGTGGCATGATGTCTATGATAGTATCGATTGTATCTTTTTTCGGCGTAATTATCATTCACAGGAAACGCGAGTCCTCGTGTCACCTAATATCGAGTGCATACACTGCAAAGCGAATTACCATGTACCGCTTGTATTTGCCCAACTTGTCATGTATGATCTGTCAACGTCTCGACATTAGACACATTTACTATTTAAAGATCAATCTGTCCAAATGTTTGTTCCTGTCCCCTGAGGTTCTTACATGAAACCAGTTCATGTTGTAGCCAGTCGGAACCAGCGACTGATATCTTCTGCAAATAGAGGTACGCCGATGACACACTAGTTGGTTAAGCGTTTGACGTTAAAGAAACTTGGGAAAAGAGGTCCTCTTGTAGTTTAGTTACTTAAGATCATTACTGGTCGAGCCTTTCCAATTTTGAAGCAGACTTTAAACCAAAATGACAAACCGCAATCTCGAATGAGAGGCGTTGTGGAGGTCAAACATATGACACAATTACTATTGCATTTGTGCATCCTATCATTATATGCATAATGAATGTGTATCCCTCGTTTAGATTTGATAACTTCTGCCTTCGAAGTGTTCGCGAGCGGCACAAACTCTACCAGTTCTCTCAGAGGCACGTTAATTTTAGCAAGCGCTTCTGGGATATTTAACCGGTCTTCCCCAAGATCCTTCATGACACGAGAATTTATACAAGGTTATTTCGCTTACGAATCAGAGCAGGGAGGTTCCTCAGTTGCACAGAAAGCAGGCGAAGGCTTATATTGCATTCTTGAACCGCAGACAGCAGCAACCACAGGTAAAAGAACCAAGTGTACATCATAAATTAACACTACGCACATAAACGATCTGTGTGTTTGATACTGTGGGCATACCAGTATATTGATATATCTGATGCTCACCCCAAGTAGTCTTAGAGTTTAACTGACGTTTCCCTTTCTGAAATTGTCTCCCACGAGACACGATCGTTTTCAGAATCAGTTAAATCTAAGAGGCAAATCTCCATCGGACATGTCTGGGCCATTTAGGCATTCGCGGCACACATTAAAGCATACAAGGCAGGTCAGGTGCCCGTATCATTGAAGTTCAACTTACGAGAATGATGCCTGGGGCATAGTATGCTCTGTTAGCTAAATGCATGAGTCAAAAAATAAGCGCGGAGGATTCGACTTGGAATGAGAAATCTTATTAGTAGAGAACCGATTAGACCCCTGGCAGCAAATAATCAGGTTCAATGGCAGCATACTCATAGATTAGGTTCGTAGGTGTTGGGAACTAGGAGCCGGGTAGGAGACGTGAAAAGTGATTCCATCCAAACGTTTTTGTAGGAGCCTACCATGTGCTCTGCACGTTTATTGCAATTAAAGATCAATTTTAAGGACGTTGCGATGCGTTCGTTGTTTCGGCGGAACGAAGACCGACCGGCGGGAAAGAATCTGAAACTATTTGGAGAGCGGCTAAACTATTCCCGTCCGATAGTGTATTAAATCCGCCGCCATAAACAAGTGAGCTTTTATTGTATTAATGCTTCTTTTTATACTGCATCACAGTTTAGAAAATAAAATATTGCTAATATATTAAAATGAGTCGACTAGGCCGTGAAGAAAGATATATAAGTATATTTTTCGGAAATGAATCGAACTTAAGCCTTATTAAATGCGAACACTTTACATATACACTATTCGACATTTTGTCTCGGCAAAACGTCTAACTCGACAAACAAATGTAAGCAGGAAATTTCGAAAGTGTTATTTTCAAATCCGAAACGAGTTGAAAAGATAAATTGGACTTGATAAAAGCAGTGAATAAGCTTTTGAGTTCTACGTCCGATACTGGCGTTGTGCGTTGCTTTATACTTAGGACTGCTTAGTTACCACTGCAGTTACCACTCTTCTCAAATGCTCCAGTAATCCCATTTGCTATTTTAATTTGTCCGTTACCCACTGCTCACATCGTGTTCCAAAGCCATATAACAAATTAACTTCAACTTTTAAATTTCCGAAACAAGCCTAGTTTATCTTACACTTCCTCTTCGAATCTAGTCCGTCCGTGCTTTTGAACGCCGTACCAATTTGTCATAAGTTACTTCACTCATTTCCATAGTTTATGTCCTTGGCTTAATCACTAGGAGGCCCCTTTTTAAAACAAACTGGCTTACGATTGCATTAAACGAGCTCTATTGTCGCAGTTAATTTTGATACCTCACTGTTCGTATCTTGCTACCTCAAGGTATAAGCTGTACAAACCCCAAAAATCAACCTTACAGCAGTCATTTAGGGTGACTGAAAAACAGCGAGGACTCCAAGACGCGGATTTAATCATTTACTATTATTGATGGCCTTTTTGCCGTTATACCAAACGTTTATCTTGTCTATTTTGCCACAATGAAATTATTGTCTTTTTGCACTTATCCTGTTTTTCTACAGCATACTCTGTTTCTCATTCTGGCTCAACACCATTACTATAATATATATATATATATATATATATGACGAACTTGAAAAAAAAGCTGTGTATTTTATATATTTTCAAGCAACTGTTAAATATTAGGTTTACAGCATAAAGCTTAGAAAGTTGAACCATTTTCTAACATAAACTCGTATTACTCTTCCAAAATCATCCCAAAAATTCTCGTTTTCGCCATTTATCATTACGACATGTAGAAAAACAGCTATATGATTTTTTTTTTACACAATTCACATTACCAACAAAACATAATGTTATGGCGCATAGTAAATATCAAACTAAAGACGCGATGAATCTACGTGGGAAAGCAGAAATTGCTGGCTCTCAATGTAAACTAAAGTATAGCTCGCGTATGCACAAACAGCTACTTTATTGCAGTTGCCCTGCTTCACTAACTTCTTCACCCCTTCGATTGTTCGCCAACTATCTTGCCGCTTAGCCGTAATTATTTCATTTGCCCGTTCAAGTATATAAATCCAATTTCATTCAAAGTAACTAGGCTTGTTTTACCGTCATTCGACTGCAATGTCCTGTCATACTAGTTCCGTATTTACTCGATCACAATAGTTAGTTGCTATTATTTTGTTTGAGTTATTGGGCGTAGGTACCTTGCAGGGTCCTATTTTGATAGTATACTATGGAGCTGATAAAGGACATTTAGTAATACTTTTGGTACACTTACGTTCGATAATCAAATAATAAATGAATCACATTCTAGCTTACCTTAGTTATTGAGGAAGAGAGGGCATCCGTTGTATTCTCCCTTGTGATTTCAGGGCACTCGGACGTACCAAGCCCGGTGGTCGAATGTAGACGAGCCACTGCTGCGCTTACCGCGTCCAACTCTTGCGGTGTTAGAGCGTTCTCCAAGGTCGTTGCAACGGATGACTGGAATAAAGGTAACCTGTCAGCCTAAAACTTGCGGTTAAAATATTTCTTGAGTAAATTTTGTACGAAACTACTCGATCTCAAATTGAAATACATTTATGAGTGGACGTTCCATGTTTTTGGACACACTAACTGTCCTTCCACTTCAGTGCCTTCTACTATGCATTCCGACACTTTTCCTTGGACAGCCAAAACTCCGATATTAGTAATAATCACAATATAAGCGTTTTAGGACATTACTGAGCGCCAATCTCCACGTAACTTATTTCCAGTGTGCGACGTTTGTAAAAGTAATACGATCAACTTTGACCGACAAAGCGAGTCGTGGAAAATAAAGAGATAAGTCAAAAAAATCTCTGCAAGACAAAGCTGACATCCCCCAATAGATTTAGACACAACCAAGATGGCGAGTTATCCATATTTCTAATTACTGTAAGCGTGTTCATCATTACGAGTCCTAAGTCGTACTATTTTGACGAATGGTTACGTGATACCATTGGAAAAAAAATGTGTAAACTGACCTCTTTGGCGTCATCCTTGGAGAGAATTGCAGCAGGTCGGCAAGAATTAGTTACAGGATTAGTAAGCATTTTTGAAGACGGTGGATTTTTTCCTTTAGGTCTGACTACTGATTCTGATGATGCAGGGGAGTCAGAGCACGATTGCTGAGCTTGGCAACGGCTGCTGTCAGTAGCATTATGACCCTGTTGCGCAATTACATTGATGCTGCTTTGCTGCTGAGGTGACACTTGGAGGTGTTGCGGGGACTGTTGGTATCGGCCTAGTACTCCTTGTTTATTTGCTTGCTTAGCTGGGACACGCTCACCGTTGTCGGCACTCCGTTTAGCTCCTCGCTTGGACGTTTTCGACGTCCGCGATGTATCGGTACTGGGCAATGGATCTGCTGACGGAGGCTGCGCGTAGCAATGATCTAACTGCACCGACTACCAGCCAGAAGATTCAAATAAACAGGAAAAGATAGAATAGGATCATACGTCGCTGATATTTTATTTGGCTACGTATTCTTTGACTGAATTACGCCACAACACTGACTTGTGATAAAATAAAGACAGCTAATTTATCTAATGTTAGAGAAATAATTCGTAACAGGTTTCTGTTAGATTACCTGTTCGACCTAACGCGTACCAGTAGCAAACCCGGTGTAGTTAAATGTCGAAGTTAACCGTATGCTAAAAAAGACCGACTGGCTCAACCGATATAGGTACGCAGCACCAGGGTAATAATGTACATAGAGGAATTGTTATATATTATTCAATTAGTAGAAATTCAATTAGTAGTGTTTTTTTCTATTACCGCTCATATACGGCAATAAACTGCGCATTGCGGCTCGCGCTTATGTAGTTGTATATCAACAAAGGAATACGTTGTTATGAACAGCATTTTCCAAATACGTTTAATAGCCAGTCGTATTTTAAAAGAAGTTGTTGTCTTCGGCTACTTTTGGAGCAAATACTAGTTCGATGCAAGAAGCAGTTTCTCTACAAACGGATTCACCAATGACAGAGGATTATGCTTTCACAGAAAATGCAAGAACATGTAGAACAAGAAGAATGTGTCACAGTAAACCACTTCTCTTCAATTAATTCGATTCGACTCGACAGCTAGTTTATACTCCACTTTAAAGTAACAATGTCTAGAATCGTCCGAAATAGCTAGTCTACGAAAAAGAAAAAAAAAACAACAATTTAACCGTTTTTGAAAACCTTCAAACAAACGTAGAACTACTGAACTTTCGTAGATGACAATTGTAGATAGTCGAACACTGTAAACAAGCAATGAAGCACGGTGACAATAGTATTTTCTTATTCTATGTTCAAGTTTGTTACGCTTGTGGCACAAATCTGGGTCGTTTATTTTTGAGGATAAACGCTTAATACATTTTAAGAAGTGTTTCATGATTAATCTTCTATACTTTTGTCTTGTAACCTAGTACGCAAAAAAGCTTACCAGCTGAATCATAAACAATTCTATCTAAAAGTTTGATGGTCTAATGATGCGTTTGTTTAGTGAACACATTGCTTTAAAGAAAGCACAGGATTTCAAAGAAAATGATGTCGAAGTTGTCTATGCCGAGACTCCCATGCGCTAACCTATAAACTTTCTTGGCTAAATGAAGTCGACGTTCTATGCCGTCGCTAATTATCATGCAGGTTTCAGAATCTGGAAAAGGCTCACGCGCTAGCAAAGATGATTCGCAGTAAAGGAAGGACCCTAATGTAAAGGACCGAATGGGCACCCGATGCTGCTGTTTTCTCAATTCAGAATTTTAATGGGGAAAAGTCTGTATTATTATCACGTGTGCAAACACACTGTTCTTTTCAATTATATGGAGCGCAATTAGAGTGAAGAGAAACGACAGATCAGTAGTCAAATACCCCCTTCGGCAGGTAAACTGTTTATCTGAAATTGGGTATAGCTTTTCATCTTTCCTAGGTATAGCTTTCCATACGATTTCTCCTATGACTTAGCAGTTAAGAATATCAGTTTTTTGTTGGAGGGACTTGTCGTCTGTAATTTTATGGCCCCTTTCTTCAGTGAATACGGCTGGATCGTCTTCGGACCACTGGAGTCGAACTTTAAAAGAACACATTCTAGTCTGTGGCCAGTAACGATCATAAAATCGTTACCTCCATTCCCGGGATCCTAACTTTTTTCTTATTTGTTTTTGGCACTAGTGTTCTGTCGAGGCAAAAAATTATGGAAATATGAACCAGTTCTACTGAGCGGATATTGCTTCACCGTTTTTGTTCATATATAGTCATCTGTGCAGGGCACCAGGTAAAGAATAGATGAGTTCGCCGACCTAGTGTTATCATACACCGAATAGGAGAAACGATTTAGCAAAAACTTAAATGACATTGGGAACGCGATGTACGAATATTTAGTCTCTTTTTCTAACATAAACAGGTACAGTTAAGATCATTATTCCCATACGGTATTCGGCATAACACACATTTTCGAGATATTACCTAATAGGCCAACTTATGGCCACTAAATCTTAATGTACACTCTTGGTTTTCAATAGATACGCCGTAGCTGGATCAGGAGGAGT